GTGTATAAGCAAAATCAAAGACAAAAAATAGAAATGTTTATTTCACCAGGGTTACCTCTACAGTGGCTAAAAAGTGTGTTGATGAGAACACGACAGTGCCTTAAGTTTATATAACAACAGATCCACTGAATTTACTTTGAAGATGCAGCTTCATACGGTTGTGTTCTGAGGCAAGGGGTGTGTCCAAAACGGCAGGACGGGTCCTCCAAGGATTTGAGCGACACTAGCAACCCCGAAACAACAAGTTGTCCCCGCACTCTCAGTATTCACTTCCTGTTTAGCCTTTCACAACAAAACCGGAAACAACAAAACAGATTGTACCACACGTACCATGCGTCCAACCTGTCGACACAATCTGCGCGCACTGATTGCAGAAACTGAGCGCACAGATTAGTAATCCGTGCACACGGATTACTAATCTGTGCTCTCAGTTTAGTAATCCATGCACACGGATTTGGCGGCTGTTTTTCGTTTTTCACCACTGACCCCTGGCGGGCTCTGTAGAGTACTGAAAAATTGTGCTGGTTTACTTAATGTTTTTACTTCAAGAACTTTTGGTCATTTTCTGGAGCTATTCTTATTTTATTTCCACTGCATTTACTATGTTAAATACAGATTACCAGGGTAAATATTTACTCCAGAAAACTGCCCTGGAAGGGTGGTAGTACTTTGGAAATTACTCAACTGTCTGGGTGGTTGAGGAGTGCTGAACACATCTGATTAGTTGAGGCTCTTTCCACACTGGAATGGATTTCTGTGGATATGCAAATATTATTATTCATTTTAGCCTTGCATTCACWTGGAAATAGTGTTTTAGGAGTTCCTGAAGAAACATATCTTGAAGCACCAATGTTGCATTCTTGTGTGGAAAGCCTAAACGCAACTTCTTAGTCCCAACCTAGAACCCAGGCATGATGTGAGGACTGACTACTATCTTCATATACCTTCATATATTGTGTTGCTTCAATAAACAAACAAGACTGGGAAACAATCAAATTGTCTTGAACAGAACAATACAAAAACCCCACGCTAGTTGAAATGTCAACATCACAAAGATCTACARCAAGTTTACATTTAGAAACAAAGGAAATGAGAATCATTTTAAAAGATTTGTGTTTAAATGATTTACCTTGAACCCTTTGTCAGTATGAAAAGAGACCTCTGCTCCAGCCATCGCTGAACAGTCAAGAAGAGGATCCCTTTTGGCATTCGTGATCAGTAGTTTTAATGTTGTGGCTGCTTGTTTATTTGCAAARATTTTCAGTTTTGTTGTTTATTTTTTGTTGGTTTTTCTTCCCTTCCCCCTCTAGGGGGAGTTCAGGTTGCTACCTGTCCTGTTGGAAGATTTTCTTAAGCATTCAGAAGTTTTTTTTTTCCCTCTCATTTTACAGGTATAGGTATTACACCTTATTGATAATTTGTTGAATTACTTTTCTCTGCTCTGTTTTWCTGTAGTAAGCACAGTGGTCATGTTGGTCCAACACAACTGGATATGAAAATGTCATCCCGAGAAGACAGCCCCCTGAAGTGACCTGTGAATGTACCTGCTTTCAAAGCGCAACGTAGAAATCATGAAAATCTTGGAAAATTCCTTCGCAGTGTTTTACACACAACTCTTCAGCAGTTTGAAATTTATTCATTTAAGTTGTTTAACAAATCAAACAMTTAACATTCATATCCACTTTGCTGTATTTTCTTTTGTTTAACTGCACATTGATGTTTGTTGTTTATATTAGAGCTAAGCTCTTCATGGCTTTCTAGCCCTGATTCTCACATAATTACTGTTCATTAACATCTAAACAACCTGACAACAAGCTGGAATATATATATAATTGTGAAATTACTTTTCCTAAATATGTATATGAAACATCAAAAAAAAAAACTTGTTTCATAAATTTAGGAAAAGTCATTTCACAAATATACATATTTTCAGCTTGATGCAGAAACAACTGTTAGATGACAAGTGTTGACTTGTCATCATTTGTGTTATCCAAAAGGAAATGGTTTTGTTTGTGCAGAGGAGAAGTTCAGTCAGAATAACAGTAGGAACTTTAAAATACTGTCTAAAGAAAGAGGCATGTTTTAGTTGCCTTTATGCAAAAAGCCAAATGATTTTCCCTCTCATTAAAGAAAATTATWTTTCTTTGAATCAACATTGTAGTAGTTGTTGACCACCACCTGTCCACAAGATGAATATTTTCAGTATTATGTGCAGATTGACTGTGGTCACATAAACATACACTGACTGTTATTGTAAAAAATATGTTTGCACCTTAGCTTATTTATGGAAATTTTCAGTTTTTTATATTATTTGGAGGCAATCAAAAAATAATTTGTAATTTAAATAAAAAAAATTAAAAAAGTCAAATGTTTACCGTTGTATTTGTCATTTACTGTACGACTGTTAGCTCAAGTTCTCAAACATATTTTTGGTAGAACATTTWGATGTTTTAGAACTATGACACTGAGGTTAAAAGAACAAAACTTTACCTGCTGCTGCTTTTAGTTAAAACCTTCTCGTACCTATTAGGGTGTAAGAAAATATAGATACACTGAAATATCACAATAGTTACATGTGACCCATCACATCGAAATGAGGATTAAGTTTAAAAGTGGTTTATGGAGAAATAGGCAAATATAGAGTTGATTAAAACATTTGCAAAAAGTGAATTTTGTCAAAATAAAATGAATTAATTTTGATGTATCATTTGAATGAACTGTCTGAAATTTAATCATAATACAAATTTTTGAAGCATTTTTCGAGCAGTCGTAACAAAAACACTGATTTTGAGCAAAACCGCTTTAAATTTTTGAGATTTTCCCTGTGAGCTAGAAATGTTTTGTTTTATTCCAGCTGGGAAATCTCAAAATTCAAAAAATATTTAGAAGTTTCCTCTTTATAAGGACATCAAAAGTTCCTCATTAAAATGGCATAAAATTTAGTTTCAGACCAAGTATATTGGATTATTGTAACCAACAAGACAAATTAAGGCATATCTCTGGATCCACTTCTGATATCAGGATGATCCAGTATCAAAATGTAGCTTTTAAAGCCAGAAATCTGAAAATGCAATTAGGTCATTTTGACCAAATTTGACTTAATCCTCATTTCGAAATGATGGGTCACATTTTTTTTCCTGAAGCTGTATCGATTTTTAATTAAAGCTTAATGGATGTAAGAAGAAATGCAGTTCTCACTGTTCAGTGTTCTGAGTGCATAAAAATAAACAGCATTTAATCCATTGGAATGCATGGTGTGCTCTTACTGAGTTTAAAAATTAGAATCTTTTGTAGAAAAAAAATGCTGCCAAAGGGGTCAGGGTAAATTATATATTTTTTGTTTCGCTGGAATTTTGCTTCATCTTTCAGTTTTAGCATATTTCAGGATTCACACTAATAAAACGTCTGGTAACAACTAGGACTCAAAAATATTTTTACTTCATCATATCCATTGTTTATCCGTCTTACTGATGTTTGGAGCAGAGATAATAAAACTTGACCATTGTGCAAGCAAATAATGTAAAATTAAAGTAAACTTCATGTTTAGACGTCAGAAATTGGAAAAAATAGAGACAAAGCTGTACTAAGCTCGGACGACCTGTTAACTCCTCCCTGCATAATGGTTTTTACAAGYAAAAGAAATGAATGTAATTTAAAATTAAAACTTGATAATCAGGAATTAGAGAGGGTAACATGTTTTAAATTTTTGGGAATGTGGTTAGATGAAAAATTAACATGGAAGATACACATTCAGAAAGTTGTAGGTAAATGTAAAACAATTCTAAATATAATGAGATGTTTAACAGGAAGTGGATGGGGTGCAGATAGAAATGRATTAAAGAAAATTTACATTGGATTAATTAGGTCAGTATTAGATTATGGATGTGTGTTATTTGAATCAGCAGTAGATCAAATTCAGTCTCAAGCATTACAACTCTGTTCAGGAGCATTCAAGACACCAGCTGCTGCTTTCCAAGTAGAAATGGGAGAAAWGCCATTAGAACTGAGAAGGATACAGATAWCAGTAAATTACTGGGCAAGTTTACAAGGCCATAATACATCTCATCCCACGCACAATACTCTAAAACCATGTTGGGAGAAGGAGAAGAAAAAAGTTAAAAGCTTTGGATGGTCAGTACACTGTAAAAATGAAATGTTGGATTTACTTAACCATGTTATGTTACCTGGTTCCACTTAACTGAGTTGAGTAAATTCAAAGCAATATACCAGGTTTTTTTTTTTTTTGCCAAAGAACATGAGTATGTAGCTTTGAATTTACTCAACTCAGTTAAGTGGAACCAGGTAACATAACATGGTTAAGTAAATCCAACATTTCATTTTTACAGTGTACTGACTATAATAGCCAGGACAAAAATTAACTGAAATATCTTACAGTATTTAAGAGTAAAGAACATTTATTTTGTCCACATGGGATAGAAACTGTATAGCCTTGAAACAACCTCTGAAAACTGTTTCACTGCTCTTACACTGCAAAAAATCTCCACCTAACCAAGTTTTAAAATCTTATATCAGCCAAAAAGTCTTTTTGATCTTGTTTTGAGA